TAATTAATTAACAGATTGGAAACTGCGAAAGACAGTTGGCACAGTACGGAGCCAACTATTAGGGAGGCTTTGAAGAAGGCAGCAGAGTCTGCGATTTCTGAGAAACGTGATAACGAAGAAATCAGGAGTATATTGAAAAGCATTGCTGAAACTCAGCTCGAACATGCTTTAAGTAAGTCTTTTTTATTAGAACAAAATAGTATATTGTGCACCAAGAGCTGAAAATGGGGCTTGAAAATGTTTGAGCACGAGTGGTAGTCGAGGGCGCCACAGGCGCCCGAGATGAACACAAGCTGCTCAAATCATCATCCGAGCTTAGAAAGATCCATTCGGCTCGTGTTGCACACCGTATTTTTTATAAAAAGAGCATAAAGAAGACCATCTTTCGTCGTCTACAAAGCGGATCGAGAATATAGTTGGTCGAGTTCTCCACTTGTTACAAACTTCATGGAAGTGCGAATATTTAAAAACAAATTAGAATCAATGTGTATATGTATCTCTATTTTACGGCCCTAGGGCAGGAAAACTGTACTTTTGGTCCACTTTATAGGCGCCAAAAATGGTCTCTTTTACCTTAAAGAAGACATATCGCCCTAAAATAAGTCAGTGACTAGAAATCGTGACTTGAACAGAAACGAGGAAATTTACTATATTAAGTTAAAATCTGAATTGAATCGTTTGAATGTTTACTTGAAACAATAATTGTTGACTACCAAATACAGTTTTACATTCTGCTAATGTAAGCATAATTCTAATTTCAAACGTCAGTCGTGATTGTTGATAAAACTTGGTGCCCGGTTGGAAGTTTGTCAGAAAAGTAGAAAATGAAAGTTGGGGATGGTTCTTCGGCAGAGTTGGACGAGTCGGGGGTGGGCGTGATAGCAGTGACGCGGTCGTGGAAGGGTAGGAAGTGCCCGAAGGCAGCTGCCGCTTTCAAGTCGCTGGTTAACGACCGTCTGCCGTCGGACAACGTGATTAACGTCGAGGTGGAACAGCGGCCGGGGGGGATTAACCCGGACAACAGGTCGCACAAGGGCTACTTGGCTCACCTCTGCCGCTTGGTGGTGAACCGCGTGCAGACGTTGGTAAACGATTCGATCGAGGCTGACCCAGAGATCAAGAGTAAGAAGAAAGTGGTCCAGGAGATCTACGCTGAGAGTTTGATGCATTTAGCGCTGCTCAGGGAAATCGAACCTTGCGGGGATAACGAACACGTACGCAGGATCAAGGAGATTCTTATTGCTGGTACGTTTCATTTTATTGTTTTGTATTTCCAATTGCTCGTATATTTTAAAACCCACACTCGATTATTATTTACTTAAGCATGTTTGCTAAAGACAGAAGTGGGTTTTAGTATTGATCCACCAGGGAGGGATTGGACACTCACATAAAAATGTGCTTAAACCGGAAGTTGCACGTTCAAAACATGAAATGTCGAAATCAATAGGTCATTATCAACTATGTTCACTATCAATACGTCAGTGAAATCATGTGTAAAAACATAAGGTGTGTTCTTGCGCATCCATTTGAACATCCATCTGTACACGGAGACTTCCACTCGTTGGCCATTTTGGATTTCTAACCAATCACGCTTCATATTAAAACAGAGCGAATTTTAAAATCGTAAACATGTCAAAAATTAGGTTCTCGGAGTGTAATATACATGCGTGTTTGAAATAAACAATAGGTCATCGTACTTCCAATATGGCAGATGAGTGGAAGGCGCAAACAGCGACACATTTGAACACGGCGGAAGAACACACCTTATGTTTTTACATCATGAGTGAAATCATGATGTAAAAACGTTTAAAGATTTAGATTAAGTTTACGATTTTAAAATTCGCTCTATTTTAATACAAAGCTTGATTGGTTAGAAATCTAAAATGGCCGACGAATGGAAGCGTCCGTGATTAGTTGTTCAAATGGATGCGCAAAAACACACCTTATGTTTTTACATCATGATTTCACTCATTTCTAACCAATCAAGCTTTATATTAAAATAGAGCGAATTTTAAAATCGTAAACTTATCAAAAACTAAGTTCTCTTGCTGCGATTGCGTTACAGCAGCTGTAATAAACGGCGCAACGGAAGTAACAATAACGAGCATACTACTACTATTCCTATACGACTCCCTGGAGGGTGACTACCTGACGTAATATTTGCATAAAATTATTTCCGCTCTTCGCTTGCCGACAGGTAAATCGCAGAAGCACGGGCCGATATTGATAAAAGGAGGGAAATACTCGGGTAAATCGTCACTGTTGTCGAGGATTTACACGGACGCCTCTTCCTGGTTGGACAGTCCGACGTTCAGGATCGTCCGGCTATGCTCGTCCACTCCACGGTCCGCGTACAGCCTGGAGCTGCTTCGAGTGCTCTGTCAACACGTCGGCTTCCTTTCCGGCCTGTTGGACGGCAATCTACCCAAGGACGCGTCGTTCGACCCGCTTTATCTAAACAATTGGCTCGGCCAGATAATGAGGCGCATCGAGGAGGAGCCGATCAAGGAACAGCTCGTGATACTCATCGACGATCTACACAGATTGCACCCTCTCGACTGCGACATCGTCGCTGCTCTTTCTTGGCTGCCCCTCAACTTACCCCCGGGTATGTTTATTCAACCAGTTTTACACGATTTACACGAAACAAAGTAGAAATAGTCAATTCCACTCTCTTCGAATTTAAATTAAACATTATCATATAATATCATATTGTATCATACTTCACAATAATTATTTAATAATCTAAATTAAACACTATTATATTTTATGTATTTTTTTAAACATATTTTAATGAATATAATTCATTTATACAGGATTTTTATTTGTAGAATTTTATAATCTATGACTAGGTAGAATATTAATTTGGTGGGATGACACTTTGCTCTGGAATCCAAGTCAACGCTCCCGATTCGGAGCTCGCGCCAATCGAGCGCTCTGATTGGTCGGGGTTTTCCATTAATAACTCCTCAACCACGCCTTGGGCAACTTTCTCGCTAAGGAAAATGTTGTTTAAAATCACGTCAGAAACCTCACATTTCAATATCTTACACTAGTTTTGGGACATCCTGTACAGCTTCGAGCGGCTCAGTCGCTTCCGTGCGGCTCAGTCGCTTCCGTGCGGCGACCGGCCGCCAGAGATTAAGTGTCAGTGTGTATTTAGAGAAGAATTGCACAGGATTCTATTGCACACACGTGTTTCTTTTAGAACACAGTTTTATTTCTGCTACTATAATACACAGTTGCTTCAGGAGAAGGTCAAGTGAAACTCTGAACGTTAACAATTAGTTTAATTTATATTGTACATTATATAATATATACAGGGTGTCCCAGAACTAGTGTTAGGCCTTGAAATGGTGTGGAGCCATGGTGATTTTAAACAACTTTTTCCTTTGCAAAAAAGTTGTCCGAGGCGTGGTAGTCGAGTTATTAACAAAAACTCTCGACGAATCAGAGCGCGAGTATACAAGGCGGGCAGGAGCGAGGTAACCGCCTCGTGCGTTGTCGCGCCCGTACGTCGCGCTCGTGACGGGAGCACAAGATGAAAGAAATGTTACATGCAAAAATGAATTAACAAATTGATTAAATGTGAAAGAAAAGAAAGAGATTAGTCGTTAATTACGTTCACTGAACGAATGTAACATACTGAATGAAATAACTAAGAAATTTACAAATTACAGAGTACGTAAAATTATGAAAAATGCGAAAAAAATCAGAGTTGAACTTACTTCTTCGTTGGTCAGTGCACCTGCTCGTAGAAGAACGTCAATGGGTCAATGGGTCGACCTTCGGCACTCGAAGATAGGACACATGGCTCGCAGCAGCTGATGCTTGGAGAAAGTCAATGACCTGCACCCGACGATTTTTTCTTTATCATTACGATCATTGTCACTTTCCCACTGGTAAATTTTCACAAAACAAAAATTGTCA